GCTGATGCTGCCGGGATAACTCCGGGTTGAATTGTGAGGTCCCCGGCCTCGACTCATTTCATTTGGAATACGAATTGTTGTTGACAAAAAAAAAAAAAATGTAGGACATATCCGATCATATCGTATTATTATCATATATACATAAAATGACGATATATACATAAAATAAAACAAATATTAAATTTTTTTTTTTAAAAGACATTTTTTAAGCCTATTTTACCGCTCCATGTGAAAACAAACACGCGCGTATTATCATTGTTCAAGAAAAGATTAGCTAAAATCTTGAAACCAGCAGAATGTAAATAAGAGAGAAGATTGAAAAAAAAAAAAAAGGGGGCAGGATTTGCTAGCTGCGTTTGTACTAATCCGGCGGCTGCAGGCATCCCGATACACCAAAGAAAATTCCATGCCCTTACGGTCTTCACCCGAATATGGCTGTATCTAGACTAAAAGTTGCCCCGAATACATCCAGCTATAATGAGCGGACATTCTATTCGGGAGAAGACGATAGGGTTTGCAATTTGTATTTATTTATTTATTTATTTATTATTTTTTTTAGGGTTTGCCATACTTGCGACAGATATACGCGGGATCGAATGCCGGGTTAAATTGGGATTAGGTCGCAGATTTACTCCAATTAAATTATCAATCAAAATCAACGATATCAAAAATCAACCTGAATCAAAAATAATAACTACAATAATTATTATTTAAAAAAAGATTTAATTTCAATTAGATACCGGATATCCTTACATCAAGCAAGCCTTTTTGAACCGTTAACAAATTAGCTCTTGAAAAAAAAAAAAAAAAAAAAAGATACTGGGAACGATTACTGCAAATAGAATGCTCGGGGAAATAGCAAATCTTTGTGTGAGCTTTTGTAAGTGGATTGGTCACAACCATCGGCCTGCTCCAGCCAAGACACCCCCCATAACATCAACACATGGAAGAAAAGGGGGAGGAGGGGGGGGAGGGGGGGAGGCCTAGAAGGGAGAAAGGGATTGCGGAGGGGACAGGGAAGAAGGGGAGAGGGTAGAAAAAGAGAGAAAAGATCACAGCAGCGGCATACAGACAAGGAAGCAAGCGCTCACACAAGATCTTTGGGTCGTCGAGCTCACGACCCTAGCTCTTCAAAATACGCAAAGGAGGACCACTTACACTAAACATCTCTCTCTCTCTCTCTCTCTCTCTCTCTCTCTCTCTCTCTCTCTCTCTCTCTCTCTCTCTCTCTCTCTCTCTCTCTNTCTCTCTCTCTCTCTCTCTCTCTCTCTCTCTCTCTCTCTCTCTCTCTCTCTCTATCTATCTATCTATCTATCTCTCTATCTATCTATCTATCTATATATCTATCTATGTATCTATCTCCAGACACACGAACACCTCACAGAAGTAAACACAGTTCTTCTCATCCGGTCAGAGTCTAAGTCTCTCTTTCCCCTGTCTCGACACGCCTTCTCCCTCCGCGTGGTGTGTTTTGTGGTGTGTGTGTGTGTGGGTGAACGAGAGAGAGAGCCATGGTGTGTGTGTGTGTTTGCGTGCGTCTCTCTCTTTGAGTATGGCCAGTGAGTATCTGGGTGCATGCACATAGCATAAATTATGACGATATATATAGATAGAAGAAAAAAAGAAGAAACGAAAAAGAGAAAAAAAGAGAAAAAAAGAGAAAAAAAGAGAAAAACAGAGAAAAACAGAAAAAAAGAAAAAAAGAAAAGAGATGTTGATCTGTGGGATGTGTTATTTGCTTTGTGACAATTGGATTATCTTTCTTTCCCTGTCAGGTTTGGTTTCCTCCTTTTCTTTACCTCTTTGCCTTTTGGCTGCGTGCAAGTGGGTCCTTGTGACACACAGGGATGGGGGCAGCCAGCGCTCAACCTACATCCACGTAGCTGGCCTTGTACGTAAGAGGTGCTGAACAGGTGGGACTTACCTTCCTTCAACTCCTCCTGTTCAGAACCTCTTGCGTATATAGACATCATCATAGAGAACTTCCCAGTGAGCCGTTGTCAAAGAGGGAGGAAAGGCGAAGAGATGTGAACTCAGTAAGATTCACCTCGCCTAGTGACCTAAGCGGTTCAACAAAAAAAAAAAAAAAAAAAAAAGCAAACAAGGGACGCTGTACCCGTTTTCCAGCCATCGAACCCTTGCCGATTCCTATTGGCAGGGGCTCTTACCACTCTGCCAGCAGGAGTCCTGGCCCTGATCGATGATTAAATTTAAAAAAAAAAAAAAAGAGGGAGGAAAGGACGACAAACTAGGGGCTTTAAAAAAATTAAAAAAAAAAAAAACGAGGGGCTGTGAGGTCACGTGCCCGCGGACAACTTCTGGAATAAGCTTACGTCTGGGCGTCGCTCCACTATCCTCGACATGCACAAAGGACAAATGTTGGTGTATCTTTCCATGTTCTAGCGGAAGATACGTTCTCATTTTGCACATTTGGTGAGTAGTGGAGCGAGGCGCTACGTCCGAAGTCGTGCGGTCACGCTTGTGACACACCTGTCATCTATCTGACGGCATTTACGACGATTCTTGCAAAGATAAATAAGATAATTACATAAAG